TTTTTTTTTCTTCAAGTAGTCTTAAACACTATTACATTTAGGCTAAAGAATAAAGCAGATACAGCACAGGAATTTCTGGCTGTCCCTCATTCTGGAGAAGGGAAAGAAGATATTATATAGGGTTTGGTTAAGAGCACAATTTACACATGGCTCTGACCAGCAGCCCTACTACCCTATGGGATCTGTGTGTTACTTGACCCAGGATGTCTCATGTGTAAAACTGGGTCCACTGGATGCCCTCCCCCGCTCCCCACAAAAAAAAAAAAAAAAAAAAGTCAGGCTTGGTGGCACACTCCTGCAATCCCAGGACTTGAGAGGCTGAGGCAGGAGGATCACACCAAGTTCAAGGCCAGCCTGAGCTGCACATACAAGACCCTATCTCAAAAAGACAGACAAAACCCAAATACCTCAGTGGATTAAAGCCTTGCAGGTGCAGGGGCCCAAGGGCTTGATCCCCAGGGCCTGTTGTGCTGAGCCACCCCTGGGGTCCTGGGGTGCGCTCGCCTGTAATCCCAGCTCTTGGGAGGCTGTAAACAGGTGGATTGGGACAAGGAGATGGCTCAGTGGGATAAGAGCTTCCCTGGCAAGTGCAAGGGCCTGAGTTCAATCCCTGGTTCCGCAAAAAATAAATAAAATTTAAAGAAATAGAAAATAAAAAAATAGAGAGGGGCTGGGGAGATGACTCAGTGGAATAAGTGCTTCCCTGGCAAACACAATGGCCTGAGTTTAATTCCAGGTTCCGCCAAAAAAAAAAAAAAAGTGAGGAAAAGTTTTTATTTATTTATTTTTAATAAGAAGCAGTACGAATAGCCAATAAGCATATAAATAATGTCCAGCATCTTTGGCCATTAGAGAAATACAAATCAAAGCAACAATGAGATTATATAACCTTACTCCAGAAAAAAAAGTCTATTACCAAGAAATCAAAAAACGGGCTGGGGAGATGGCTCAGCAGAATAAGCTCTTGCCTGGCCAGTGCAAGGGCCTGAGTTCAATCCCCCGCTCCACCAAAAACAAAAGCAAAAAACAACCAACCACTTGCCGGAAGTGGCAGCACACACCAGTAATCCCAGAACTTGGGAGGTTGAGGCAAGATAATTGCCAAGAGTAGGGAGGCCAGCCTGGGCTATGTAGCGAGTTCAAGGCCAGCCTGAGCTGCATAGCAAGACCCTGTCTCAAAAACAAAACAAAATGAAAACAAAAAAATTCAAATGCTGGAGAGGCAGAGAGAAAGCAGCAACCCTTCCACATTATCCATGGAAAGGTAAACTAGTGTGGAGGGGCTGGGGAGATAGCTTGGCAGTCTAAGCACCTGCCTGGCAAAGTGCAAGGACCTAGGCTCGATCCCCAGTATTGCACCCTGTACTGACAGTGCTGGCCACCAAAACAGGGCATAGTGGTGCACAGCATTGGGAGGGCTGAGACAGAAGAAGCACTATGAGTCCAAGCTGTGTGAGACCCTACACCAAATCACTTAAGTAAAAGATTTTTTTAAAAATTAAAAACCATTGTGAAGATTCCTCAAAAAACTAAAAACAGAAAATGCATTTAATCCAACTATACTTCTTCTGGATATATTCCCAAAACAAAGACATATTACAGTACTACCTGCATATTAATATTTACAGCAGCTACATTTTGGAGGCAGCCTATAAGGTCATCAACAGATACAGATCTAAGGTATCTTTCTTTTCTTCCTTTTTTGTCTTTTTGAGACAGAGTCTTGCTATGAATCTCAGGCTGGCCTTGAGCTCACTTTTGTAGTGCTAACTGCTAACTCAGTGATCCTCCTACCTCAGCCTCCTAGTGCTGGGATTACAGGCCTGTGACACCATGCCCAGCTCAACAGATAGACAAAACACTGTTACATACACACAATAAAGTACTATCAGCCATAAAAGGACAAATACGAATCATCTGTAGAAAGACAAATCTTGAGACCGTAACACTAAGTGAAATAATCAGACACATAGCTTTCTCTTATGAGAAACCTAAAACATAAAAAAAGTTTGGAGACAGGGTCTTGGTATATAGTCCAGGGTAGCTTTCAATTTTCAGTGATCCTCCTGCCTCAGCCTCCTGAGTGCTGAGATTACAGATACGACCCACCACACCAGGCAAACTTAAAAAGCTAAATAAAGCCAGGCGTAGTGATGTACCCTTGCAATCCCAGAGCTCTGGAGGCTGAGGGAGGATCTTTGTGAGTTTGAGGCCAGTGTGGGCTATAGACATGCTAAGAAAAGAGCAATAAATTAAAAAAAAAAAGGAAAAAGAGATAAGAAATAAGAAGGCAGACAGCAGGGGCCAAGGTTTGATCCCTAGTGTGGGGTGGCATGCCAGTCCCATCACTGGGGCATGCTGAGACAGCAAATGAGATTGGGCATGGTGGTGTGCACCTGTAAACCCAGCACTGAGAACTGGAGGATCACTACAAGTCCGAGCCATGTATTGAGACCCTGTAGACCCTGTACCAAATAAATAAAAAATAAAAAAATAATTAAGGAAGCAGACAGTGAAGATGAGAAGGGGGTCTGGGGAGGGGATAAGAGAGGGTGGGGAATGAAAAGGAAGGAAAAATGACTAAGATGCTAATATGGAACCTGTGCCAATTTGCCAAGCTCAATGTAATTAGTATGTATTACAAACAAACTCAAAAAAAAAAAGCAAAAAACTAAAGAGGTGGAGGGAAATGAAGAGCCATCATCAAAAACTACATTCAACATGGCCTCCTTTCTAACCCAGTAATCTATAACAGAAGGAAACCCAGAAGAGCAGACATAGCTTCAAACCACAGATATACTCAATTCCCACATCTCCTGAATCAGATCTCACAAGCTTACCCTACTAGCATACAACCAATGTGAAAGAATCCCTATGCCAGGTCAACCAGGCAATATTCCTAGAGGAATATCATTTCCCCATCACCTTGCTGGCTATGAGACATGTATTAGTCACTTTACATTTAGCTAGTAATATACTTTAGAAAAAGTACACCATTCCCCAAATAAGTCACTAAATGATGAGTAAAAGTAATCTGACTTTACTAAATTCCAGGAAAAACAGTGAAAACAAAAATAGTATGTAACTCACTGTTTCCGTAAATT